AAAAAAAGAAGGAAAAAAAGAAGGAAAAAAAGAAGGAAAAAAAGAAGGAAAAAAAGAAGGAAAAAAAGAAGGAAAAAAAGAAGGAAAAAAAGAAGGAAAAAAAGAAGGAAAAAAAGAAGGAAAAAAAGAAGGAAAAAAAGAAGGAAAAAAAAGGCAATAATTCAGTGTCATCTCTACCACAAACCCTTCCCACTGGGCCAATATCCCAGAGGAATTCTTGAGGTGGATATCCAGCCACGGGGTTGGAATTATGGACAGGATTATTCCCACACCTCCTACCCCCGAGCACAGCCAAGGTGAGGACAACATGTCCTCTCAGGGAGAGCACAGGGAAGAGTTTGGAGAGAGGTGGATCCACCCCCAGGTTACCTGTTGTTCAGTAAGATGTTGGAGCACTTAATGTCTCGATGAAGGAAGTTCTTTTTGTGACAATAGTCCAGACCCTCCATTAACTGTTTCATGAAAGACTTGATATGGTCCTCTGAGAAATGTACCAAGCCAGATTCTAGCAGCCCCATTAGGTCATGGTCCATGTACTCAAACACAAGGTAAAAGGCACCTGGGATAAGAAACAAAGAAAAGATTGAAGAGCAGAGACACAAAAAAGGAGGAGTGAAAGTAGATTCCATTGTTGAAATAGTCTTTTCTGTGCACTGTTGTCTTTAACAGTCGTGGGATGTTTAGGACTTAAAGGTCCTACGTGAATTTTTCCCCCCTAAGGGGTTAAAAAACAACCCCAAAACAACTAAGTAGCCCCTCCAAGCTGACATCTGAAATTAAATGTGCACTCCAAATAAATTCCTCTGAAATCCTGGCCATGTTTACCCACCTGCTTTGGTTATTTCCCTTCAGGAGAGTTTGTTGAGGAGATCACTGCTATGCGTGGTTTGAACTCATGTTTGTGTTGCTCCCTTCTCTCTCATGGAACAGAAGGCCCCAAACAAGAGCCAGTGGGATTATAAAACACCCTCCTTCCACAGTGACAGACACAAGACTTTTCACACTATTGATAAGTTTGTTGCCACTAATCAGTGTTAGAAGTGACCCTGGTAAAGGCCTTGTTTTGTTAAAGCCTGTTCATCTGTGACTCTGTAGAAATGAAGTCATCCTTCTAGTGCAACAACTCACTTTAACTGGGATCTATCCTTTGAGGAAAGGCCGAGCTCTGCTGCCAAACTCCCTGGAACTGCTCATAAAGGAGGAACACAAAAAAACCCCCAAAGCCACCCCAGAGTTCAGATTTTGAGTTTTGCACTAAACCAACGAGTTGCACCACGTCTGTGGCTGCTGGAAAACCCACAGCTGGAGCAACCAGGTACCTTTGTCCTTCTTGAAATCCAGTGCATCTTGTTTGTCCGTGACGATCTCCTTCATGTTGACGACGCTGCGGTGGATGAGCTGCCGCAGGATTTTGATCTCCCGGATGGCTGTGATGGGAAATCCCTCCTTCTCGTTGTCCAGGCGCACCTTCTTCAGGGCCACCAGCTCACCTGCCCAAGGCACACCTGGGTCACGCCCTGCCCTCCTCACCAGCCCTCCCCGGGGCTCCAGGGAAGCTGGAAGGAGCCACGAGCACAAACACCCACCAAGGGCGGCAGAGGCAGCTTTAGTTACCCCCCTAAATTCAGTTAAATTGCTCTGCCAGGAGTTATCATGTTTGGACTGGTGACACCTGTGCTCCTCCTAAGCTGCTCCAGCAGGAACTCACACAGGAGAACATACATTTACCCCGGAATTCCCCACTATTCTCTGCTACAATCGAGTCTGACACAGGCTCACCTAAAAAGCAGAGGTTTAATTGGCATCTGTGGCTGCCACAACCACCTGACCAAGGGTCAAACCACACACCCAGGGCACAGGATCTCACAGGCAGAGTGGGAAGCTGGGCACTAGCTCAGGATTTCAGAGCTCCTGTTCTTCCAGCCCTCTGGAAGTGCCTGTTCCAGGAGCCATTTCTAGTTCTACAGGGATTGGTCACCAACCAGCCACACCATGAGTGTTGAGCATACCCACAGCAAGATGAGCTTCCAAAGGTGGAATTCACCTGGAGCCATTCTCCAGCCTTACCTGTGTCCTTGTCCTTGGCTTTGTAGACCTGCCCATAGGTCCCCTCTCCGATAATCCCAATGATGTCAAACTTGTCCACACAGCGCTTCCCCCAGTCGCTTTCCGTCTGTCTCCTCTCCCCATACCGAGGACAACAGATTCTGGGAGAGGGAACAGGCCTGTGAGACACCCCAGTGTCACCCCAGTGCCACCCCAGTGCCACCTGCCTGGCTGCTGAACTGACCCCCAAACCCCAAAGGCAAAGCTCAGCAATGTCGGCTTCGTGTTCCCAAAAATTTGAATGTTTGGGACAGTTCAATGAATTTTTGCTGTATAATCCCAACTACTCCAGGTACAGGCAGGAATATTATCCTGGAGAGCATTATTATGCTACATTAGGACAGAAATTACTGTCTTATTTCACAACATGCTGGATATTTGATTTTTATTTACAAGGCAGTGTAATGCCCTGTACAGAAGACTAAGAGAGTTTGCTGCCTCAAAAACTGCTTGAACTTTGTTATCAGGGGAAGTTCTGTATTCCTGGAACACAGAATCATGGAATTGTGGAATGGTTTGGATTGGAAGGGGCCTTTAAAAGCCCATCCACTCCCACCCCCTGCCATGGGCAGGGACACCTTCCACCAGCCCAGGTTGCTCCAACCTGGCCTTGGACACTTCCAGGGATCCAAGGGCAGCCACAGCTTCTCTGGGCAACCTGTGCCAGGGTAGTTCCATCACCAACACTTCAATCATGAAATGCATCAAGAAAACAAGGACATCTCCTATCTGGAATGACCAACTTCTAAAGGCACCACGAGCTTTACACAGGGGTGCTCATGAAGAGGTTTCTCAGGGCTGTGGGCACAGATGAATTAAAGAGCTTCTGGGGTAGATGTGGCTGGAGATTGAACATGGCACACTCCAGCAACTTCTGTCACTAATCCTCAAATAAATGAGGGTCCAAATACGAAACAACCCACAGGAAATGGTGTTTATACAAGAAAACACAGAAATAGGAACTTGTCTCCTCCCCATTTCACTTCCCTCCATAAAGAGCTCTCACACTAGTGAAAAAAAAAACCCACAAACAACAAAGCCAGGCTTACTTTGGTCTCTTTTTGAAGGGTTGCTGAGGTGGTGTGGCTGCCTTTGGTTCTGGGGAGTCGGGAGGAGATGGGTCCCCCCCGGGGAGCTCCGGGGGGAGCGGGAGGTCCGTGAGTAAGTGGCGTGGTCTCTGCTCTCTGTCCTTCTTCACAGGTTTCGGAGGAAGAATCTCCTTTGGACTAAACTCCGGAAAGTTAACACAACACAGGAGGAGTCAGACTCAACACAGGGGAAAAAAGCTGCTGCAGGACAACAGCTCTGGTTGACAACCAGAAGTGTCAGAATTAGCACGGCCCAAGTATAAAATAAAACAGCTTTAAAATTTCGAGCGCCCGTACAACAGGAGAGAAAAGTGTGAGAGTTGAACACAGCACTAAATAAACACACAGGTCTGCACTGGGACTTGCTCCATCTGCACAAATCAGTAGTCATTTGGAGCTTCCTATAAGACAGCTCAGAGCATCAGTCAGAACCCACTTTCTGACCTTTACTTCCCCTATTTACTTCACTTATCATCACCAAATTAAATGCATGACTTGGTAAGGGCTGCCAGAAATACAGACCCAGAGCTAAACCTCTCTCCATGAGCAACTTTTAACTTCACAGCAAGGCCTGAAATGTGGCTTTAACTCCTGAATGCTGCTGAGAAACCGAGAGTTGATTTTTTAAAATCCAGTTCCCAGTGGCATCAGGAGTTTGGTTCAGACTGGCAAGAGTCACGTGAGCAGAAAGAACCCACTTTGCCTCTCGTGTCCTCAGCAAGGAGAATTCCTGGGTTTGAAAAGTCAGGAATTCTCTGCTTCACCATAAAAAGATGAAGAGATCCAAACAACCTTCCCAGGTGTGTTTTTAGGGCAGGAGCAGGTTTGGTGTTTGTCAGCACCATCAGCTCTGACACTTCAGCACAGATGAACTGATGGAAGTAGGTCATTTTCCCAATTATTTTATTAGACTCTGCCTAATCTGCATGACAATCTCTTGTGAAACCAAGTTAAGGAAGGAGGAAGACAAGAAACACCTGAAGTGGGAGAGCTGGACAGGCTAAAACTCAGCCCCTATTGACTGCAAACTCCTGAGGAGCAGAATAACAGTATTTAAATATCTATATAAGAAATAATGGAATTCTTTAACTGGAAAAGCCCTCTAAGATCAAGTCAAACCATCAACACTGTCACATTCACCACCAAACCACGTCTCAAAGGCTCAGCCTTTCTACAGACACCCCTCAAAAGTCAGCTCTTTGCAAGACCTTGGTGGGTGAAGGTGTAGGGTAGGGTCAGCCTGCAGTGCCTGGCCTTTCAGGAGGCCCCTTCTCCTAAAAAATTCCCATTCCCTTGCCATTATCCATGCTCAGTTTCCTACTTGCAGGTCAGCACTGGGTCACTGGAAGTTCAGTTGCCCCAGAACATCTCTGAGAGCCAGGAAATCAAACAGACCCTTTGGAGCTGCCCGAGCACAGGAATTAGAAAGGGTGAGCACAGACAGCCCAACAAAGACTCCTTGGAGCTCCTTTCTCCCCTAAAACAGCAGGGATGCCAAGCCTAGAAAGGCAGCACTGCCAGCAGCTGGATCTGTGCTTGTAACCAGGCTGGTGCTGTCATCACTCAGCCAGATGTTCCCAGGAAGCTACATGAGCTCTGCCCCTTCGGAGCATGACACCAAACCCACACAGAGTTTGTGCCTCTTCCTCCTAAACAGCTTTTTCTGCTCCCCTGGTGAATCCCCTGGACTTGCTGTGAGGTCTAAAAGCATTGCAGGAGGTTGTAAGCCTGGAGAGGTTAAAGAGCCTCTAATTGAACGAGGTGCTTTTCGTGCTTGGACACTTCCAAGCCCTTTTCCGACCCTGTGCTCGGGGCTGGAACATTCCCCAGGCTCAGCAAGGACAACAAAAAGTCCAGCTCAGAAAGTTTTGCCCATAAATGTGAAGGCAGTTGGTTAAGGGGGAGATTCTGCCACATGGAACTGCCACCAGACTCAGCAAAACGAGCAGGATTTCCCACCCTTTAATTGGGAAAAAGTCACATAAAGCCACTTACTGAGCTTTGCTCCAATCCCCCTCATCATCCCCAGCCCTGAGGTCAGGGATAAAACAAAACTAAGCCACACCTGGGTGGTAAAAGAGAGCTCTGGGTGTAAGGGGCTAAAAAAAAAAAATAATACAATAGAGATTTGCAGGACAACTTCTGGGTTTGGAAACGAGGGAACAGAGCAGCAGGATTTGCTCTGACTGGCATTTGGGTTGGGAAAATCTGTTCAAAGCTCCTGCTGATCACAGAGACATTTAAACTCAGTATTAGTTGCTGAACAACATCACACAGCTCAGGGAGGGCAACAACCACACAGGAACCTCACTTTTAGGTTGGTGGCAGAGAGAACATTTCCCTGATTGGCATCAATACCAGGATAAACCATGGAAATCAATTCAATAATCAGAATATGGAACACAAGGAGTTCACTTGACCACAGGGTGATTTTGTATCGAGTCAGAAGCTGACTGCCCAAAACCAAGCACATCTTTAGTGGTTGGGAATATACAGAAGTTTTTAGGGAACTACAGGCTAAGCAAGTCAAGTAGGAAAAAGAATAAATATATATTGCTTATGACCTGGAGTTAACAGCACTACAACACACCAACAGCTAGAAGGGAGAGAAAGAAAATATAAATATCTGGGTTTCTTCTTTTCCATCTCCATTTTGGTTATCCTGCTCCTTTCCCCTCTTCCTCCCACCAAAAATAAAAGCCCCACAATGAGGTTTTCCAGATGAGTCCATCACAGAAGCCATGACAACCCCCAGCCCAGCCCGAGCTCCAGTTCCAGGACAGAGCCAAGTCTGCATGTTTTGATCAGGAATTACAGGAAATCAAGCTGAAGTAGGTGTAGTTTCACTCATTTTTAAGCAATACCTACTTCTCAAGCAGTAAGGGTTTGTATTAATGACTCAATAATTAAGACAATATTTAAGTTCAACCAGTGCTGGTTTTACCCATGGGCACGACCTGCATGGTTGGTGAACTGGGAACAGAAAAAGCTCTGGTTTGTGTCCCTGGATTGGAAGCTCTTCCCTGTTCCTTAAGTACAAGTTTTGGAGGAATTAAACAAAAACCCCAGCGATTTAAAAGAGTGAGTCTGTGCAAACAGCTGCAACACAAAGAGGTGCAAAATCCCAGAGCCACGTTCCATCCCTGCAATAAACATGACCAAAGAGGGGAAACCTTCATTAAGCAGCAGCCAAACTCCTGCTTCCCACAGGGATAAGAGGTAACTACCTGAGTGGGATCATCAAACTCCCCACAGAAACCTGCCAGGGCCAACACCTGGAGCGGCCCTGGGATAACACACCTATCCCAGGGACAGTTGTACCCTGCAGGGGAAGCTCCCAGCTGCCAAACTCCCCTCAAACCCCTCGTTATTTCAATGCAAAGGGGATGCTCTGGCGTGACCTTACCTATCCAAGTCATCTTCCCCAACTAAAATAGGGGGCAGCGGAAGCGGAGGCAAGGTGGAAGTTTTCAGGTGTGGGATAGCAGCCGTCACAGACACTTGGGTTTTTGTAGCCACCTGCACAGAGGACTGGGAGTTCACCTGAGAGGATAAAGTAGACGTCCTTGGGTGGGAGGAGGATGGCAAAGACGTTGGGGCTGGAGGAGGGGCCTGGACAGGAGTCACTTGGGCTGGAGGCAAAGGCGGGACGGCGGGAGACGGAGGCAAAGGCGGCAGCGGCGGAGTCGGAGGTGGAGGGGTGGTGGTGGGCAGGGGTGGAGGGGGGGACTTGATTGAGGGCAGGGGGGGTGGGATCTCCTTCTCCGCTGTGTCTGTCTCCTTTGGAGATACCAGGTCCTCGGCCGCCGCTCCGGGCTTCGAGTCCTTTGTTCCCGAGGGTTTGGAGTCCCGAGCTGGGGCGGGATGTTTGCGCTCCGCGTTCTCCTCCGGCCGGGCCCTCGCCGGCTCCGCGGGGCCCTTGGGCTCGGCGTTGCTGTGCAGTAAGTTCACTGACTCTGGGTCTGGCGGAGCCTTCTCCAATTTAACACTTTTGGTGGCCTTTTTAGACTCCGGCCCGGCCTCCTTCAGCTCGGCCAGGCTGTTCTCCTTCCTGGCCAGGAACACCGGGGAGCCCTTCGCCTCCTTCCCGTCCACCTTGGCCGCAGCTGCTGCCGCGGCCGCTCGCTCCTTCTTCTTCCTGCTGAGCTCTGCTCCCAGGCTGGAGTTCAGCGGGAGCCTCGTGGGGGAGATGCTGGAATGGCGGCTGCGGGACCCAGACCTCTGCTTTTTGCTGTGAGATGAGTGTCTTGAGTATCCAGGGCTGCGGCTCCGGGACTTCACGGACTTCCTGGGGAGAGAGACACGAAAGGAAGCGTCTGTCAAACTCTGAGCTACTCACCAACCACTGAACCCGGGCTTGGGCAGGTCAGAGGGTCCTCAACACCCCGTCAGGAGAGATTAAAGCTGCTGAAAGGGGTTATTGAGTCAATCAGGAGTGGTTTCACACCATCACCATCCAGCCTTCCTGGGCCAGGACCACCCTCACCATCACACCAGAAACCAAGGACCAAGGCTGGACAATCCCCAAGGAAAAGAGGAGATCACGGAGCCAACAGGAGACCTCAGTCCAGAGGATGAGCTGGCAGTTTGGGAATCCTTCACGGGAATCAGGTACAACTTTAAAGGAAACAATGGATAAAAAGAGAGCAAATCTGCCTCAGGAAATCACACACTTCAAGCTCATTTCCCCCCCTGGTTCTTTTACTGCTGTCAGAAGTCCAATTTGCACAGTGTGATTTGGGAGAAATGAAAAAAATAAAAACAAACAAACCAGCAATTTTTCTGAGGTCTTGGTCTTCCTCTACAATAAATGGGCTCTAAGTCATGTATTTCTGCAGAAATAATCACAGAAAACCTGTGCTGTGAGCAAAGCAAGGCAGGGAACACCTCACACCATCAGGCTGAACCTGCTCAGGAGAGAGCAGCCACCACCAGCTCAGGGGAGACTGATGGGGGAACTGGGTGAAAAAATAAAATGGAAGTGGAAACTAGAACCTCCAGAGTCCACAACAAAATTCCTGATAAACCAGAACCACTCCAGCAGGAACCAGGATTGGATGTTGAGACAGAAGGTTTAATGGTATGGGAAAACCAAACATTCTGAGATCAGACCCTATAAATACTGTCATAGACACAACACTCTGTGATAACTCAGGGCATATTTGGAAAACATGGAATTCTCTCAGAACACAGTCCCAGAGCAGCTATAAAACACACACCTCATCCCAAACAAGTCCAAACACAGGCAGGCAGCCCTGGATCGCCTGTAACAACGCTCAGAACACAACTAACAACGAGGCCTGAACTCTTTGTAGTGCCACAAAAATTAATATTATCCCGAGACAATCGATATTGGCAAAATAAACTGGAGAGCTGAGGTAACACAGAGCTCCTGGCTCGTCACCACAAACACCTGCCAGGATGGGCAGCTGGGACTGGGGGAGGTTCACCAGAACCCCCTTCCCTCACTGCTCCAAGGATCAGCATTCCTCTCTCTCTCAGTGGTACAACCCCAGGAGAGCACCAGGGCTGCAGGCAGGTCCTCATCTTTAAACTCACAAAATGAACATACAACCACAGGGAGGAAAAAGCAGGATCTAAAGCCACTCAGCTGTTTTGCCTCTTCAACACACCAGGAGTTCTGCCTCAGGATCGTCTCTTTTTCCAAGGTTTTTTAGGGAACTGATGATCTGGGACACAGCTCACCTGCCACCAGGAGCTGGGACAGCAGGTACCTTTTCACCAGACTCCAAGATACCTGGGGCTGAGGAAAACATTCCTAATGAACCCTGTGGGACCACAGTTTGGGGTTGGCATTCCCTCCTGCAATCCTTCCAGGATGGGCTGTTTAAGGTGCTGAAAGACTCCACTTCTTGCTCCTTGTTTCCCACCCTCCCTCACCACTGGAGTAACCCCCAGGAGTTACTCCAATCCATGGAATGGGTTGGAAGGGACCTTAAGGCTCATCCAGTCCCAGGAAGGACACCTTCCACCAGCCCAGGTTTTCTCTTCACTAACAACAATCACCTACCCTGGTCACACAGAGAGCTGTTGTGTCCAAGCCCATTTTCCAGGCTGGTGTTTACAGCTGCTTTGTCAGACCTGAAAAAGGCCCCACATCCAGAAGCCTTCTTGCTTTCCCAGCTCCACATCACTCCAACAAACCTCATCTCCCATCACTGGACCATCAGCAGCCCCAAAAACACCAATACCCAACACCCAAAGCACCTGCTGAGGGGCCTTTTATCACTGGGTATCTCAAAACAGATGTAACAAGGCACACAAGGTGCACAGGGAGGTTTTGCTTTTGGAAGAGAACCCTTTCCATCCTCTGGAACAATCTTTTGTGGCTTTGCCTGCAGCAACTTATTAGTACTTTTACCCCTTTCACCCTCTAATGTGTATTAATGAGGACTCCACACCTTATTTGCTTTGACAATGTCATCCAGGATGGATAAAGGGAAAGTCAGTATCAAATGCAGATCTTCTGGATAAAAATGCCCTGGGGTTAAAAACCACTTTGTTGTCCCTCTAGAACTGGAAACCAGAAAGGGAAGATACCAACCACGAGGACTGAGAGTGAACACAGAGCTGAGGATGATGCCTCACCTAAAAATCCAAATAAAAACCATTGTGAGATTCATTTAACTCACACAAGCAGAAGACTGGAATGGCCTTTGGAGATGGGAATGCTGGAACCTTCCAGACTCCTCATGCTGAGCAGGGCCCTGGTTAATGGGTGTTACAGAGGGAACCTGCAACCAGGTGGCAAAGCCCCACATCACCCACTAACAACCTTCCCAGGAACACCTGCAGGCACCAAAACGTTTCACCTGCTCCAACCCACAAACAGAAATTAAGAATGAAGTGCAAAGTGGTATCTGGGAAGCCCAAGTGCTCGAATTTCTCAAGGAAACAAGCTCTGTTTCTTCATTTTTTGAATGCCCAAAGACCTTTCACCACAGGCAAGAACCCCAAACTCCAGGATGTGCTCACTCACCACTACACTCAGCACCCAGCACATCCCACCTCCAGCAAGCTGGAGGACTCTGGAATTCCATCTCCCTGTTTTTGCTGCAATGACAACGGTTTCTACACAGAATGGCAAAGCACATCTGTTATTTTCCCTGCTGACCAAATCCTCCTTGTTTCCCGCTTGATGGGAAGAGAGAGTTGTTTTCCACAGCCACTGGAAGTGCAACCCCTCTGGATTTTCTCCAATCAGCACAGGGATTCAGTCCCTTAACGCCGTGTTTTGGACACAGAGATGAAAGGAAATGCAGAATGCACCAAAAAACCCTCATGTTGTCACTCAGTGGAAATAACTGAGTGTCCCAGAAAAGCCTGAAGAACGTAAGCCACAGTCAGGTGTTCAGGGCCCGAGTGTGCCAGTTAAAAAGAGGTTTTCTCTCCCAAAAATATTCCTGCCCCTCCACAGGAACCAAGAGAAGGGATGACAGAGTCAGTGCCCAAAGTCAGCTGCCTCAGTACAAGGTGAGTGTAAACAGTGAATAACCTTTGCAACCTGTTTTGGTTTGGGGTCCAACATTGAGTCAGAGATGTCCTTAAAAAGTGGGTCTGGCAGTTCAGGGAAGCAGCACAAAGTTGCTCCCTTAAAATCAGGAAAATGTAACTGGATTTCAGAACTCAGAAGCAACCAACCATTTACACAGAGTAAGCTCCAGGTTCTCCTGGGAAGTGGAGCAACCTGAGGGGAAAACACACCTCTTGGGATACCACTGCAGTTCCCAAGGGTTTCTCCCTGCTTAGGGCTGAACTGACACTTCTCAAGTGTCAAAACACACAATTATATCAATTTATAGACACATCCTGCCACTGTATCCCTTCTCTTCCAAATATTAGTACATAATGTGTAAGAGCAGCCTAAAGGATTGAGGGGAAGGAGGGGAAAACCCTCCAGGCCTATCCCTGAGGGCTTCCCAGGTGCACACAGAGAAAACAGGGCAGGGGAGCAGCAGCCTGGAATAAAGAGATTTTACATAACAGCTTCCAGGGGGTAAAACCAACAGAGGCCTCCCAGCAGGGACAAAGGCAGGTCCACCATGGAAGGCAGCATTCCTGAAGGGAAGTTTTAGTGACAAAGACCAAACTCCAAGAGCCTTTGGGAAGTGCTGATCTGGAGGATGCAGCGCAGCAACCAAGGGGCTGAGCATTCCTATGGCCATTACATTCCAGGTCACATCTGAATTGCCATGGAGCTCCAGCCAAAGCTCCACAGCATCCATGGTGACAACTGGAAACTCACTGAACACAGGCCAAAGCCAGGGAAAAAAAAATAAAAAAAAAAAAAAAAAAAAAAAATCAATGTTGGCCACGTAACAGGATGATTAATGAACATCTGAAATAAAACACACAGAACTACCTTGAAGTGATTGTTTCCTTCTGTAGCAAAGTTATGGAGTAAAGAAGAAAGAAAAAATGAGAGTTAAACCAAAATCCAGCTGGTTGGCTCCTCACCCTTCCAGAATGCCCAGACTTCAGAAGGGAAAGAAGAAACTGAGAAAAGAAAGTTCAGGCTGAGAGATGGAGTTCACACGTGGCCACCTCTGATCCAAGGGGAAAGATAAGACAAATCAGTTCAGAAAGAGCAAAATCCACCCAAAATGAGCCCTCCTGAGAAGTGGGATCAGGTTCCCACACGGAGTAAACAGATAAAGGCTTCCAGAAAGAGGTGAAAGGCTCCCCCCAGCTGAGCTTCCCACCAGGTAAAGCGCCTTAGATCCCGCTCCTGAGCCCAGAGGCCACTCCAGAGGTGGGTGTAACTTAATCCCAGAGCTCATCCAGCCTCCCTGCCCAGAGCCAACATGGACGCTGCTGCCTCCTGCCACGCTCGGAGGCGTTTCCCAAAGTGTGGACACCGTTCCAAGGGAATTGCCACCACCCCAACCAAAGCAGCTCCACACACACCACTCCATGGCCAAACTCAGCACCAGTGGGGAGGAGGAGGAACCATCCCAATCATGGAATGGTTTGGGTTGGAGTGGGATCTTGAAAATCATCCAGTCCCTCCCTGTGCCATGGGCAGGGACACCTTCCAGTAGCCCAGGTTGCTCCAAGCCCCGTCCAACCTGGCCTTGGACACTTCCAGGGATCCAGGGGCAGCCACAGCTTCTCTGGGCAACCTGTGCCAGGGCCCCCCCACCCTCCCAGGGAGGAATTCCTTCCTATATCCAGCCTGAACCTCCTCTCTTTCAATGTGAGTCCACTCCCCCTTGTCCTGCCACTCCATGCTCTTGGAAATAATCTTTCCCCACCTTTCCTGCAAGTTCCCTTCACTGAACTTCTTAAGAGGCAAAACCTGAGCGTTCCAAGCGCTGGGACTCAGACACAGACACGAGGCCCTGGAATTTTTTCCTAATATCCCACCCAAACCCCCACTCTCCCCATACGAACCCATTCCCGCTCATCCCATCGCTCCATCCCCTTTCTAAAACTTCCTGCCCCACCTCTCCCGTAATTCCCTTCACAGGCTAACCCCCGGCATTCCCATCCCCATCCCAGCCCTCTCCCACCCCCACGCACCTGGCGATGGGGCTCCTGCTCACGGAGCGCTTGGAGGCGAAGGGGCTGCTGGAGCGGCGGCGCCCGTAGGGGCTCGGGGACCTCCCGCTGTAGGAGCCGCTGCCCCTCTCGTAGCTGGACGAGCGCCGGCGGGCGTAGGGGCTCACGGAGCGCTGCCGCCGGCTGTAGGGGCTGGGCGAGCGGGCGTTGGACTGGTAGCCCATGGGCTCCTTGTAGGGCGGGCTGAGCGACTGCCGGCGAGAGGAGCCGCCGGGGCTCTTCCTGTAGGGCTCGTAGGTGCTGGACGTGTGCGAGCGCGGCGGGCTCAGCTCGTACTCCTGCACGTAGGAGGCTCCCGAGGGGCTGTCGTCCAGCTTGGGGCTGTCCGACCACCTCCTGTGGGGGCTCCGCGACTTGCGCTTGGGGCTGTCGAGGGTTTTGTAGCTCTTGGGGGCGTCCCTTTTGCGGTGGCTCTTGCCGCGCTCCTTGTGGCTGGACTTGAGCTCCCGCTCCTTCCTGGACTTCTCCTTGTGCGCCTTGGCCGAGCGCGACTCCTTGTTGCCGCTCTTGGAGGAGGGAGCCTTGGGGTGCTCGTCGCTCTCCGGGAGCCTCTTGGAGGATCCCGAGACCCTCTCCTTGGCGGACCTGCTGGAGGCTTCCAGGCCCTTCTCCAGCTTCCTGTCCTTCTCCGCCTGCTTGCTCTTCATCAGCTCCCGCAGCCGCTTGTGCTGGTGGTGCCGGTGCTTCTGCGCCCTCTCGCCGCGCTCCCTCCTGTCCTCGCTGTCCCTCCTGTCCGGTCTCAGGGCCACGTCGTCCGAGAAGGTGTCCGAGTCCGAGCTGATGTCGTCGTACTCCACCAGCGGCTTGATCACGGCTCCCAGGGGCGCCGCCGCCTCCTGGGCCGCCAGCGGGGACTCCTTGGAGTGCCTGGATTTGTGCCTCTTGTGCCTGGAGCCCGCGCGGTGCCTCTCCCTGCTGTTGGAGCTGCCCGCCTGCGAGGCCCCGCCGCCGCCGTCCTTCTTGCCCCCATGTCTCTCCGGGTTGGGCATTCCTTCCTTCCCCCGCTGCGCTCGGGAACGGCCGAGGGGAACTCCTGGGAACCCCCCCCGGGCTTCAAACTCCCTCAAACTCCCTCCGCGCCCGCCCCGGGGCCTCGGCCCTCCCTCCTACATGGGGAGCGGGCCGCGAGGCCCCGGCGGAGGCGGGAGGGACGGGGAGGGAGGGGGGACCCGGGAGGGGAAGGGAGGCCCCGGGAGGGGGCGGGGGAAGGGCCGCGGCCTCACCGCCTCATCCGCGGGGGCCCAGGCCCGGCGCGCGGGGAGGCGGTGCCGGGGGGGCCCCCGGAGCGCTGCCCTCCCCCCCCCGCGGTGTCGGGCGGCGGTGTCGGATCCCCGGGCGAGGGTCCCCGGGCGAAGGGCGGGTCCCGGCGCAGCCGCCCCCGGCCCGGCCCGGCCCCCGCGCGCTGCCCGACCCGGAGCGGCGCCGACCGGGGGGCACCGCGGCTCTCGCGAGAGCCCGCGCAACTCTCGCGAGAGCGCCTCCCTCTCACCCCCTCTCCTCCCTCCCTCTCCCCGCGGTCCCTCCTCCTCCTCCTGCCGCCGCCCGTGCGCGAGCGCGCTCGTCCTCTCGCGAGATCCGCCGGGATGACGCTCCCACCCTCAGCGAACTTTTATTGGGGCGTGGGGCGGCGGCGGCGCCCCCTGGCGGCCGGCCCGCCGCGAAGCGCCATGGCGCCCGCGCCCGCTTCTCCCGCCGCTTCTCCCGCCGCGCCCTCCGAGGCTGCTGGCGCGCCGCCGCGTGGAGCCGTGCCCCGCCCCGCCGCCCCGGCCGCTAACGGGCGGTTAACGCGCCGTTAAAAGGCTCCCGCAAGCCGCCGCCGCGCTGCGAGGTGGCTGTGAGGGGTGAGGGGGTGGGCGGGGCCTTGGCTGGCGGCGAAGCCGCGCCCGCCGATGCGCGCGCGCCCCGGAAGTCTCGCGAGAGCTCCGGCGGCGGGGGGGGCGCAGCCGCGGGCGCAGCAGCAATGGCGGCGGCGGCCGCGGCCGTGTGAGGGAGGGCCAGGGCGGCCCGGCCCCGCCGCCGCCCCCAGCGCAGGGCTCCCCGGCCGCCACACCGGCCCCGGCACCGGCCACGACACCGGCACCAGCACCCAGACATGAAGGCGGCACCGGGCGGCGCCGAGGGTGAGTGAGTGCGGCGCGGGAGCGCCTTGTGAGGGGACGGGGGTGGAGGCACCGGGTCTGAGGAGCCACGGGCTGAGGTGTCGCCCTCGAAGGCGTGGAGAGCGAGGGTCGCAAAGGTGTGAGAGGTCTGGGGGTTCTCTGTGAACGGGGCTGGTTAGGAAAGAAGACGAGGAGAGGGGACCCCGTGAACCCACACTCACAGCCATACAAATATCCTATTTGAGAGGGCAGCCCCCCAGTCCGTACAAATCTCGCAAATACTCATACAAATATCCCGCTGGAGAGGCGACCACCTCAATATATACAAACATCCCAAATACCCATACAAATATCCCGTTTGAAAGGGGATCCTGTCAATATATACAAATTTATGAAATACTCACGCAAATACCCCATTTGAGAGGGGATTCCATCAATCCATACAAATATATCCAATACCCATAGAAGTACCCAGTTGGAGAGGGGATCCCATCAATCCACACAAACATCTCCAAACCCACCTCGGCCCTGAGGTCTGGGGGTAAATCAGCAGCAGATAAATTTCTTTGAAATCATCTTTAGCCCAAAGGTGGGAGGTGTTTTTTAAAACCTCCAGCGTTGCCTCGTGCTCTTCCCTGACTGTTCCTGTCCCCCAGAGGCAGAGAAGCTGAACAAGATGAGCTCCCTCCTGGAGAGGCTCCACGCCAAGTACAGCCAGAACAGGCCCTGGACAGAGACCATGAAGCTGGTTCGACAGGTCATGGTGAGGATTCCCAGGCTCTGCTTTCTTTTTGTGGTGGCTTCTCAGATCTCCTCAAGGTGTTTCTGTTTTGCCCAAGGTTTTCACTCCCTCCTGGGTCACTGGGGTTGAGGGGTGTCAGTCCTTGCAGGGCATAGGGGAGGGAGGAATGTCCAAGCTCTCCCTGCTTGATGAGCCTTTGCCTTTGATAATTACATGTTAATTTTCAGCTCGGTGCCAGGAAAAGGGTCGAACTTGTGTTTTTTATTTGCTGTTTCAAGATACTGTTTTGTAGAGCAGTTTGCTCCCTGTTCAGTGATGTTGAACACTGTGTTGTCTTTGCCAAAAATTAGTTTGAAGTATTATTAGTTTGAAAAACTATTAGTTTGAAATATTAGTCTTTGGGAGCGAGTGGGGAAGGAGGAGCAGGAGGCAGGGGAGAGCTCCAGCAAAGCCCTTTGCACATATCCAGGTGCTAAAAGTGTGCCTGGCTCCTTAGTTCTCTGCCCTCTCTCTTATAACTCTGAGTTTAGACCTGTTAAAAGTTGCTACAATCTGTTCTTCCAGCTGAGCAAGTTGCCAGAAAGCAAATAAATCAATTCCAGGCCTCCCTCTGTTACCTGCTCCCAAAGCAGGTACTGTTCTCCTGCAGGAATCAAGAGGAGGTGATTTGGGGATGAAATCTAACCTGCTTTTAGTCACCTCAATAAACCTCCCTTGGCTGCACGAAAGTTGCAATAATTCCCACTTCCTGAGGAATACACAAAAATGACCTTTTTTCTTCTTCTTTGTGACCAAGGAAAAGCGAGTTGTGCTGAACTCGGGGGGGCACCAGCACCTGGTGAGCTGCTTGGAGACACTGCAGAAGGCCCTGAAAGGTTGGTGTGTCCTCTGGGTGGTGAAATCCTGGGGGAACACTCCATGAAAACACCCAGGGCGCTGCTGGCACATCTCCTGGTGCTCATGTGAACATCAGCACACCAAGCTCAGGACCAGGCAGGACTGGCTGTGCTGCCTTTACTGGGAAAATCCTCTCTCTGCCCAGAGAAGCTGTGGCTGTCCCATCCCTGGAAGTGTCCAAGGAATTGTCCTGGATGGGACTTGGAGCAACCTGGGCTAGTGGAAGGTGTCCCTGCCCATGGCAGGGGGAGGGACTGGATGGGTTTTAAGGTACAGGGAATTTTTAATCCATCCCTGGATTCTGCTCGCAGCAGAAGTTCCCTTCTCTCTTTGCAGTTTATGAAGGTTTTGCTCTCTTTGTGCAGATGGTTCTACCTGTACTGGAGCACAGATCCTCTGTAGCTGCACATGGGAAGGAGTGAGCAGACGTGGGGGAGGGACTGACTGGCTGGGGTTGGGTTTGTTGCTGATTTATTCCTTGGGCAGTGCCAGCTCGTTGCAGCGAGCCCTGTTTCTGTTCTCTCCCCAGTCTCGTCCCTGCCTGCCATGACAGACCGCCTGGAGTCCATCGCCAGGCAGAGCGGGTGGGTCCCCCCGAGCTCCTGGGCAGGACCTTCCCTGCTTCCCTGCCCACATCAGCCCCTCCTGCTGCTGCTGGGCCCCGGGGGTTTCATGTGCATCTCACAGCAATCTCTGTTCTGTTTCCTCTGCAAAGCCTGGGATCCCACCTGAGCGCCAACGGCACCGAGTGCTACATCACCTCAGACATGTTCTACGTGGAAGTGCAGCTGGATCCCACCGGGCTGCTCTGTGATGTCAAGGTGGCCCACCATGGAGAGAACCCCGTGGTGGGTATTCCCAGGAAAGAGGGTGGGAATGCCTCTGTGGGTTTGGGATTGCTGTTCACCTCCCTCTCGTTTGAGCAGAGGAAATGGGTTGTGTTCAGGCATTGGAATTCAGGCATTGGAATGGGCTGCCCGGAGAGGTGGTGGATTCACCATCCCTGGAGATTTTTAAACGCAGATTGGACGTGGCACTGAGTGCCATGATCCAGTAAATGGACTGGATTTGGACCAAGGGTTGGACTCGATGATCTCAGAGGTCTTTTCCAACCCAATTGATTCTATGTTTAATGTTCCCCAACACCTGGAGTCACACCTTTGCTGTGTAACTGCTGCTTTCTGGTGGGAAGTAAAGCCCTCCATGGAGTAGTTTGCTCCTGTGGGATAATCTGATGCACAGTGTGGATTTATAGCTGGAAAAGTTACTTGAGGAAGTTCTTTCTGTGATTCTGAGACTTTTGTGGAAGTTATCACTGTGTTTCTGAGGGAAGGAAAGGGAAATTAATGGAATGGAAAGTACTAAAAGGGGGAATGCTGGAAGAAACTGGAAGAAAATGGCTTTATTGCCCTTCTGCACGTGGAGGAGAGTTTGAACTTGGTATTAGATTGGCTTCTTCTGAAGACAGACCATCTTTAATATCTACATAAAGTCATAGGTTTCCAACTTAAGGCTTCACAATTTGAAAAGTTCATTTGAGGTAAGTAATTTAAGAGGAAATATTCTTGCTTGAATTTGTCCCAGTGGGACTTAATGAGCAGAACTAGAACCAGAGCAGGGTGTAGTTGTGAGCATTGGGTTGTTCCACGGGAAGAGCTGGTGCTCAGGAATTTTACCCTCCTGATATTTTCCAGTTGCTGTGCTGCACAAAGCCTGAAATCACTGCATCCCACACTGATATCCTTGTTCTTTCCTTTCCAGAGCTGTCCAGAACTGGTGCAGCACCTGAGGTGAGTAACAGAGTTTACTGGTTGTGTTTTCTGACAGGTTTCTCTTTGCTGGGGTGATCTGATGGTATTTTCTACCTGGAAACACAAAGTGTTTCGTAACTGCTTCTTCCCCACAAAGTGTCTCCCCTTCTCCAGGGAGTTTGCTGGCTTTGCTTCAGATCCTTGTGATTCTGGTTGCTCTACAAGGTGTCTCCAAAGCCACAGCACTGCTTTAACACTGAATGGTTTAAAGGACACATTTTGTAGCTTTTATGTAGCAAAAGTCTCTTGTGACGTGGCTTTATATTAACAACACTTTCTATAAAAACCCCCTTCTCTGTTACAAATTTGAATACTTGGTAACTTTCCCTCCCTTTTTTCTTTCAGAGAGAAAAATTTTGATGAGTTTTCTAAGCATCTGAGGGGGCTCGTGAACCTGTACAAGCTGCCAGGAGAGAAGTGAGTCTGGAATGTATTTATATCCCCACACATAAAATCAAACAGGCCTAGACTACATTTACTTGTATCCACATATTTAAAGGAAACAAAATTTCCAAGCTGTAGGTGTGCACTGTGCAGTTCAAGTTTTCTTACTTTGTTCTGTTGTTGTTTTTTCTTTTTCCTCAGCAAACTTAAAACTAAAATGTACTTGGCTCTGCAGTCCCTGGAGTTGGATCTCCAAAAGATGGCTGGGATGTACTGGTAAGGATGGGTGGGTTTTATGTGTGTAAATAAGTGCTCAGGGCTCTGAGAAACTCCTTTTAAACTGCAGAATTCAATTGAGAGAGAGTCTAAAAGGCAAAGTAATAAGTTTGTAAACAGACAGATTCCCAAGAAACTGGGAAACTTCTGTCCATGTTTCACTGCTGTAGG